AATCCCGAAACCCTGAACCCCTAAACTCAAAACCTCTAGGCAAACCCTAAGCCTCTAAGCTCGAGGCCCCTAAGCAAACGCTAAACCCTAAACCCCTCATATAAGGGCCTTAATAATTAGAAGAGGGTTCCTTTAAAGGGATCCTTAAGGGGTTTTTATAAGGGATCTATGATAGGGTTCTATATTAAGGGCCTTAAGAATCAGAATAGGGTTTTGGGGGTTCCTGATTATAGTTATAGTATCATAGACCCCGAAACCCTGTTCTAATTATTAAGGCCCTACATTAAACCCTGCAAGAGCTACATTAAATCCCTTAACCCTAAACCCGAAGCCCCTAAAACCTAAACCCTAAACCCCTAAACCCTAAACCCCTGAACCCTAAACCCTGAACCCCGAAAACCTAAACCCTAAACCCCTAAACCCTGCAAGAGCTCGAACCACTGAACCAAGGAGCCTCCCGTGTTGAAAGCAGACACAGACCACTCGCAAGGACTAAGGGATTTCTGAAGTAGTGACAAGGGCTTAGGGTTTAGGGTTTAGGGTCTAGGGTTTAGGGTTTAGGGTTTAGGGTTTAGGGTTTAGGGTCTAGGGTTTAGGGTTGAGGGTTTAGGGGTTACGGTTTAGGATCTAGGGTCTAGGGTTTAGAGTTTAGGTTAGGGTTTAGGGTTTAGGGGCTAGGGGGTAGGGTGTAGGGTTCAGGGCTTAGGGTTGAGAGTTTAGGTTTTGGGCTCAGATCAGAGGATCACTCTGGTGTTTTCAAGGCCTTTACAAGGCTTCGTACAATTTCAGGTACAATTTCAGGAACCGTCCCTGTCCAAGATCCCCAAACTCCAAAACCCTACAACCGCACATCACACGATCATTCAATTGAAGACGGGCTCTCTTCAGGTAGTTAGTCTGAGCGGCCATGCCATACTGTTGATTTGCTACATAGATATTTTTCTTTCCTGGCGACTCAGAGCAAACAACTCTAAACGTCACGAAACCCTGAACCCCGAGCCCTGCGCCTGTAAAACCGTACTGCCCTAAACCTCTCTATCCGCAAGCCTGAAACCCTAAACCCTAAACCCCTAAACCCTAAACCCTGAACCCTAAACCCTAAACCCTAAACCCTAAACCCTGAACCCCAGGCATCCCACAACTCCTTGAACACGAACTCCGGCAAGAAAACACGAAAAATTCAATACACGCTAGGGTTTAGGGTTTAGGGTTTATGAACCAAAAGCAACTGCGAGTCATGCGAATGAACGTAGAGAGAGAATGATTGCAAGAATACCAACAGTAACTCCTAAGGAGCCGAAGATACTGTTAATGATATAAAACCTGCAT